GCTCTAAAATATAATAGTGTCCTGCATTAACAACCTATTTTGGCTCTGCTCCGAAATGTAATGGCTTCTTCCTTGGCCAATTGTACGCCTTTCCACCAAGTTTCAGGAAATTCCAACCTGTTCTTTTTTTCTGTAATATTTTGACAAACAAAAGAAACCTTCTTGTCTTTTCAGCACAGTTGCTTCTAGAGAAATGGCCTTTCCATTGCAGAGTAGAGAACTTCTGCTAATCAAAATACATTATATTCAGGCAGGAAATCTCACAATCTGGACGAATAAATCCCAAACTATTTTGCATCTCTTACCCTAAACCAACCCTTTGAATTTTAATAGCACCTATTCAGAGACTCTCCTGCGTAGCTCATTCAGATAGTGCTGACTAACCAAAGGGATACGCTCGAGTGAAAGGACTTCAAATGTCTCCGCATGAGTTTTTGCATTGTTGTCGGCAGGTACTTTCAGAAAAGCACATCTGAGGATTCCTGAGTGTGTTTTTGCAGACCGGGGCATTGTAGATTTAGAGCTGGCTCAGTCCTTTCTCTGCCAGCATTGCCTATCTTTATTCCTGCCTCAAGCATGAAGTAGTTGATGAAAAAGAAAAAGGACTCTGCAGAAGTGTTGATGCTGTAGAAAACACCCAGAACCATTAGTGGAGTCTTGCTGTACTTCCAGAGGCCTCATTTGTTCGGTGTATACAGTCTTTGTCTATTCTTGAGTCTGACCTGTAGAGAAAGTTGTTGGCTTGGACCTCAGGGCTTCATCCTATGTTTCTTCTCCCCTTGTTAGACTTCCCTTTTCGATCTCATTAGTTGAGTTTACAGCTCTTCCAAATGCCAGCGAGAGGCTGAAGCTCAGGCTGTAAAGAACTCTTCACCTTTTTAAAATCACATGACGCTTTTTTTCCAAAATTTACTCTTTTGCTTTACTGTAACTCACCCTAAGAGCAGCCAGCTCAGAGTGTACCGGAAACACTTTTATGAAGTTAATCGTTGGAAACAAGGGTTTATGAGAAACCTGCGCTCTGAGAAGATTCATTATTCAATTTCCCATAATTGAAAATGTGCTGTTCCCTTCTTGACTAAACTGATATTGCATATTTTTGTCCAGTTTTCTGCTGTCATTAACAGCAAATTGAATCTAGACACAGCAAAAAAAAGTATGAGAACAGGATGGACATTTATTTACGGTGCATTACAGGTCTGTTTACAAGAGATGATGTTAATGCCAAGTTGAAATGTACAGAAACATAGAAAGAATACATTCTGTAAAATATATAAATAATGAGTGAAATAATTACAATTATTAGGAATGTCTCTACTCCAAAAACGAATTTCAATATTATTGTCATAATTGTATTTTACGAGGTTAATTGTTGAAGCTGAGGTTTATTGTAGGAACGCCAAATGTTATTTTTAAAAATAAGTAGGTAATAAATCCCTTGAGTAACATATGAATAAATACTGTTAAATATATTGATAATGTGTCCACTTTATTTTGATCATCATAACTTTATTTATTTAGTTTTCATAGTCGTAGTAGTATATGAAGTAACTTTAAAATGTTGTTATAAAATTAAGTATGATGACATTTATTATTCGATTGACTTTAATAATAGATGAATCTTCCCTTCTCTTTCCCCCCAGTATCAAGATGGTGCTGATGTGGACCAGTGGCGACACCTTTAAGACGGGATACTTCCTGCTCACTCAGGCTCCCGTTCAGTTCTGGACCTGTGGCCTTCTGCAGGTCTTTGTGGACTTCACCATCCTCTTCCAGGTGTATTACTACAGCCGCTTCCCTCAGAAACCAGTTTCCCACACCGCCTCCCACACCACCAGTGCCAAAGCCCTCTGAAAACCCCCTCTGAAGACACAACAGTGACTGAGGAAGCACTTTTAAGAGGGGCTGTGAACAAGTTTAAACACACAGGAGTACCAAAGCACCTTGAGATGATGCAGGCTGCTCCCTTAAGTATAAATAAAGACACACACACACACACACACACACACACACACACACACACATACACACACACACCCATTAGGCATGAAGATACACACACTGTGTTTTCAACGGTACCTGACGGACACTTGTTACAAACGAACGTTCCTTTTTTATTTATCCTACTGACTTGTTTTCAAACTGGACGTGATGGAATGCAGAGTTTATCTTTGTGCATGTGGAGAATATAATGCACACACTCGTGAGAATATACGCGGTAAATAACTGCAGACGTATGCACTGTAATCTGTGCACAACGAAATGTGAACCTTAGCTGGTGATTGTTGCATGGACCCTCGGCCTTAAAACACACATTCAAACATGGCTTGCTGCATTTACGAGCAATCCAAATGTATGAATCAATCAAAAGAATATTCAACATTACTGAATGTAGAAAATGATCTCCCAACACAGTGGAGAAATGCTGGTCAGTCTACCACTTGTTGGACAGCTGGTGATAATGTGCTGTGACAAACTCAATCTTGTGGGATAGTTGGGGAGGAATGGGATCGTAGGAAACTAGAGGCAATCAGACTTTTACCAAATAAAGGAACATCCCAAAAGGGTTAAAGTAAACAATGATAAGAGACATAAGAGGCCTTGATGGTAACAGAGAGCTTTTGTTGAAGACATAAGGGCAGTCTTTTCTCTGAAGTCGGAACAATCATCAACCCCATGTTGAGGTTGCACCGTTTGTCGTAAAGCCAAACCCAGGATTACTTGTCCTGAAGCCATGAAGGACATTTTTCATTCCACAAAATCATGAAACCCCAAAGTAGTTCAGGTGCGTTGAGACTGAAGGCAATTGCATACAAAGTCATTAACGCAAGTTTGCAAGAACATGCTAATAAATGCGTACTTTTGAGCTAAATCCGGATTATCCCGTAGATTTCTAAATCCGAATTAAGAGAGATTATAATTTGCCAATTATATACAGCCAAATTATTCTGTTAGAAAACCTTTTTATACCAGGCTACTTCTGAATATGTCCAGAAACCTCACTTCCAATAAGCTGTGGATAACCATATTATTTTTTATTACAAATCCAATCTCATTTGCTGCTTTGGGAAGTTTTTACCTCATCGCCATTTTTATCACAAGACAGACAGAGAAGAGAAAGAGGAAGAGGAAGAAGCTGTCACATAACACGTTGAAGGGTTTTCCTTTTTTATTGTTTCGTAATCTTTCTTTGGGGAGGTGAGGAATGCTAAACTCGGAGGTGTCAGAACTGTCAGCTCTTCAGTGGACTGTGTACCCGAGCAGACCCAAATCTGTCCTCCTCTGCTAAGCCCTAAGAAATGAAAACTTCCCTTTTTTTGTTCCAGAGGGATGAGGCAGCAGAATATTTCTTTGCCCACTCTTAAAATACCCCCCAAAAAGGTCACTTCTTAGTTGTGGATTCGTACTTCTTTTGTGTTTACACGTTTGTAGTCACCCTATTTATTTGGTTACCATTTTATTAAATATGAATCTAGTGTATGACTGTTGTTTATTTAGACAGTGGTGAGGGTGATTGTAATACATGTGGTAGGTTTCACTTGGTTATTTTTTTGTATTTCTATATTGATTTGTCATGTGAAGGTATTTTTTTCCCACAAACTGCCATGTTGTGCATTTTCTTATTTGTGTAACCCACGTATAGTTTTGTTTATGTACCAAAAAAAACAAGTTACCAGCATATATTTTAAGCAATTTTTTTACTATGTTACATTTTTGTTTTTTTCCATCCCAATGAATAATATTGCATTTGCGCCCAATAAAGAGGACACGGAGAGACTCATGCGTCATGTTTTGTTTGGAGATGTTTGTGTCAGTTGTGCAGACATCCATCGTTTCTCCCGTCAGCGATTCAGCTCTGGCAGACATCAGTTGTCAAAGGAAGACTAAGCCGAGGTCCGTCTCTGGGCATATGCAATCTAAATATTAAGCACATTAATTGTAAGCGGGAGACAGATAAAATGTGCCAGCACAGAACGGGTGAAAGGAGGGATTTGAAAAGACGTCAGATTATGTAAACAGATGCAGATTTATAATATTCCCTTTATAGGTCACCAAGTGCCTTTAACAAAGATGGTCTGTCCCTCATAGATTAGGCTTGAATAAGATATGTGCATTTTCGTTCATGCATATTGCTAAACCATCAATTTGCTAAAGAAAGATGATGGAACAAATACGTTTTGAATTCATACTCAAGGTCATAAAAACACAACACTCAAATTTGAGTGGTGCTTCCCTGACTGATAAATACTTAAAAACGGCTGCTATGGACTTTTGCAAATATTGGAAGTGATGGTGCACTTTTCTAAGATTATATATCTTAGTAATTAGAATAGTTAGTTCTATAGTTAATAGAATTTCACTTCAGTAAATGGAAAAAATCCGGAGCTATGTCAACACAGTCTCACGGCATTTCGTGTTATAGTCACGAAATTAATGTAATCTATTGATTCGTGTTCACCAACATGATTTCCCTATTTTTTTTTCGTGTCACACAGAACGATTTTAAAAGCAATGTAAATAATAACAAATTAGAAGGAAAAAGAGATTTAAAAAAATACAGATTTCAGTATTCTGGCACAGAACGATTTTAGAAGCAATGTATTGGTAGTATGTTTCGTGCCTGCACCAAATAATAACAAGTTAGAAGGAAAAAAATATTTTTAAAATACAGATTTCAGTATTCTGAGGCTCTGAGCCATTTATTTTCCTCACGGACGGAAAAAAAAGTCTGACATTATACAATTTAAAATAAAAGGGATAGGGTTAGGCTTAGGGTAAGATATTGAGTAAGAACCTATTTTTATGAACCACACAGCTTCTGGTCTTCCAAGGCCCGACCGGACAAAAAGCACGAGACATACTACCAATAGAAATACATTGCTTTTGTGTGACACCAAAAAAATGCAAAAATCGTGTTGGTGAACACGAATCAATAGATTAAGTTAATTTCGTGACAATAACACGAAATGCCGTGAGACTGGGTTGCATACGTATCTTAGTAGTAGATAAACAAAATAACCTTTCTTTAAATGTTTTAGTTGTTTTGGAAGGGCTTTCATCTTATTAACTCTACTGTAAAAATACTGTAATGAGTCTTCTTAATACGGCCCCATTGATTTCCTTTCAGTAAATGGAGAAGATCCGAAGCTATGCTAGCTAATTTAGCAGTTATTTAGCTGGTGAACACGTTGCAGCATTTAGCAGCTAAATATCCAGATAATTTTCAGGAGCTGGCAACCACAAACCACGGTGAAAATGGAAGTAAATATTGGACTAACTTTCATAAGGACACTCCAAATAAATGCTAATAATGCTCTGTGTCTGCCTTGATGTGTGCATTAGCAACTGTTAGCTAATACGCTAATGCTAAAGGCCTTTATAGCTCGCACCATTAGTGTTTTTCCTGTGTTAATAATCAATTCAAACTGTTTGTAAAAACGTTATTTTGCTGATATTTTAGGATGCAAATTGAGGCAGCTCTGTTGTAAATTTGCTGCTGATATGAATTGTTTTGCTTTGTGACGTTAGCATGTATGTCACACGCTAGCTGTGTAAAGGCCTTCATCCTTGGAACCAAAATGGTGTCTTTTATCTTTAAAATCTAAAAATCTATCTCTGATTTAATCACAAGCCTTTTAATAACATACTTTGAAGAAGAGTAGTCTAAAATAACCTGCTTGAGATCACGGCCATAAGGTGAATTTAGTTCAGGGTCTTTTATTCCCGTTAGCAACACGACCAAGAGCTCGAGCTACATCTTCCACAGGCTCATTTTTTCAAAGTGCTGTCAGTATTGATCAGATTTACAGCGCATTGTGCCAACACCACTCCAGGAAACATCATTCTTTCATTATTAATAACGGATGTGGAAAAGAAAACATGACTCAAGCCGCAGACGGACCAATTCAGGATGTCATAATTGCAGAAACACAGCACGCACTCTTGCAAATTTGAGAGCGTCCTTGTGTATAATTTAATTGTAAAATCAAAGCCTCTCCACTTGGAGACTGTTTTCATTATAATCATTATAACATTTTTCAGAAGAGGATACCGATTCATGACGCAAAGCAGAGATCCATTTCACTTTTTTTATTCAAATGATGTCTTATTTCACCATCCACTTAATCAAAACAATATTCTCACTTCTTAAAAACTGGCATATAGTGGGTATATTTGTTTTAAGTGTTCTGTGTAATATTTCCATGCTTTTGTAATGTTTCAGTGAATTCAGAGTTGTGAGAATAAACATGCCCCTGCTTATCAAAATATCTAATTTGCACTCTCGAGCACTTGATGAGTTACAATAATTTGCAGAATGTTGTGTGTTTTTTTTCAGTACAAGGCACTCAAGTGAAATGAAATGAAGTGCTGTATGAGCAATTAGAGGAAATCGTGTAAGACTGGGAACATTATTATTAATTATCTGAAATGGTTTTAGTCATTAAAAGGTCTGTGGGTTTTAGTGCCTGAATGATGATGTTTAACCAGTCACACAACCCTCTTAATGTTTGTTCTACTGGCCTTTTACCCACATGGTAAGATAACTTGATGTTGGTAAGTGTAGAAACATCCTCTTGTCATTCCACAGTGAACAAAATGTCCCACACTGACTGCATAGCCCTTTGAAAGAGAAATGACTCTTGTGTAATCATGCTGGATATTAATTTGTATCATTGCAAATAAAAGTGCTGACATCATTATGAACGTGTGTGAAACCTTATCTAACAGAGCCCCAGATTGAGCAAATACAGAGTAAATGCAGATGATATGGCACATCAATAATGAAACTACATGTCTGAAGTCTCAGCAAACACCTTTATTCTCATAAGCAGCTACGTGAGGAACATCAATTATTAGTCTTGAGGTCTGAATAACAACGTGTGATGTTTTGGTGTTGGATTTCCCTTTTTTTTGCAGACTTATGTGAATCACAGTCAATCAGAACTGTCATTTTTTGAGATCTCATTTGACTGGTTGTTTATTCATGAATGTTATACTGTTTGCAGTCTTTTCAAGTTCAAATTTATGCTCTGCAGCTCCTCAGTAAAACTTAAGAAACTCAGATACACCCTGGAGCACAAGCGCTTCACACGATCAAAGCCGGGACCTCAATCTCCCGAGAAGGAAAATCCCACAATCCTGCAGCTTGTCAACTTTGGAGTCCCACGTGAAACACAAACAAAGCAGCTAAGTTTTCATCGCTCTAATGTCAGCAGCCCTTTGTGCAGCTGTGAACTTCCTCCTCTGCAGGGATGTAGCCGAGGCCTCAGTGATCCCGTGATAACTGTCCGTCTCTTGAGAATCTTCACTGTTTTGAGACTTGGTGCTATCCTGCGAACCCGGCTTGTGCCTCGAGGCGCGATTTTGCTCTTCTTTAAGCTCTATGTAGGAGCGTGAGAAGGTGTGAAAAATGGACGTTACGGGGAAAGCCATGAGGAGGATTCCACTCAAAATGCTGCTGAGTGCCACCACTTGTCCAGGGATGCTTCTTGGCACCATGTCTCCGTATCCTACCGTGGTCATGGAGATCACGGCCCACCAGTAACTCCCGGGGATACTTGTGAACTCCTGCTTGGCGCCCAACTCGCTCTCAGCTAGGAACACAAGTGGGGAGAAAAGAGCCATGGCTACGCAAAGGAAAAGCAGCAAAAGTCCGAATTCTCGCGTGCATCTTCTCACTGTTAACCCGAGTGTCTGCAGGCCTAAAGAGTGTCGAGCCAAACGCATCACGTAAAAGATCCGTAGAGCTCTCAGGACTCGGAGAACTAACCCCACTTTCTCCAGGTAGTTGTTCCCGGAGCCTGTTTGTTTCCCGCCGACAGAAAAAGAGTCCACGATGAGAGTGATGTAGTACGGGAGGATGGCCAACACGTCGATGAGGTTCAGAGGCGTACGAAGGAACGTCCACTTGCTCTGAGTCTGGATGAAACGCAGCAGGAACTCCAGGGAGAACCAGGCGACGCACACCGTCTCCAGAACGAAGATGTTGTAGCACCTCTGGGAGCACTCGCCCTGCGGAAAGGGAAACAAAAGCACACAGACAGACGTTAAAGGTCGCCTATTATGCGGAAATCCTCTTCTCCATGTCTCTTCTACATCAACATGTGTCCCCTCTTCTCCATGTCTCTTCTACATTAACATGTGTCCCCTGTTCTTCATGTCTCTTCTACATCAACATGTGTCCCCTCTTCTTCATGTCTCTTCTACATCAACATGTGTCCCCTCTTGTTCATGTCTCTTCTACATCAACATGTGTCCCCTCTTCTTCATGTCTCTTCTACATCAACATGTGTCCCCTCTTCTTCATGTCTCTTCTACATCAACATGTGTCCCCTCTGTGGAAAGAGACTCTGAAAGTTTCAGGAACAAAGATTCTCTCTCTTTTTGGCCAGATCCATTTCTATAAAAACCTTTCAGATTTTGGCCACTTTATGATGTCATAACAATGTTTTGTCTTGTGTAACCATTAGCCAATCAGCAACCAAGGTAACCACCCTCCACCTTATCACCTGAATCTCCTCCTAGAGCACCAGTGTGTTATTCTTTGCTAACCAAATCTCTATCAGAGGGGCGTGTGGAGGGCTCCTTATTTTTCATCTCAAGTAACAGACAGAGAATCAGCACTTTGGAAACAGGGCTGAAACAGAGGGGATTATGGGTAATGCTGCAATGATCTGTTTGGTGTTCCAGCCAATCAGAGACAGGCTCTGTATATATCTGAGACCTTTGATATATTGATGAAAAACAGTATGATAGGGGACTTTAATGGTTTCGTTACATTACACAACAGCAGAAATACCCCATTGAGTGGCGCAGGAATGAGTCCTAGAACCCAGAAATGAGTCAGCATTTTAACATTTCTGGTTCCTCGCCTCAAAGTCAGCATTTTTTGGAATGTATCTCAGCTTGTAGGAGAAACATATATGTTTCTCCTAAAAGCTGAGGAGATTATCCTGTTTTGTTCTACGACATAAATACGTCACGAATTGCCCCACTGGTGAATGTTCGTAGCTTGTATATGTGTAAACAAAAACTGCAGTTTACTAACAAAAGCTAAATGAGACTGAACTAAATGTCATCAAATATTACATGTACCTTTTAGTTTGTTTGCTCTGAGTTTAGTAATTTATAAGTCCGACAGGCTTTGGTGCATAGGCTAAAATAATCAATTTAATACAAGAGAAACTTAAAAATATACAATCCTTTATTACATTAGTTAGAACTGAATAAAAATACACATTCATTCGGGTCTAAACCATAACTAATCTCAGTTGAAAAGGGTTCATATGAAATCAGTAATTAAAAATCAATTTCAAAGCCTGCTGTTTGATTCTTGGCTTCGTCATTGACAGAGGTTGAAGCACTTTGATCTCACAACACAAACACAAACGAGAATCTGCTGGAAGATTCATGAAGTGTAAAACAAAAGGCTTTGATTATCTCATTTAGGAAAGACCACATATCAAACCAGAGCGTTCAAGAGGTGAAATCTGAAGTTACGCCGCCGATGTTACGCAGATAATTAACTGTCAGCGGTGTCGTTCACAGACGAGCCTGCACCATGTGAGCTTTACAAAAAACACATCTGAAATATCCTCTCTTTTAAAGCTAATCTATTCTTCCACGACTGCTGAAATAGCGTTCATAAATATTTTAAATTATAATTATAAGAGATTACTTGGTTATTAAAGCAAAGTCACCCCTGGGGGAAACTTAAAAAAAAAAGTGTGTGTGCTTTTCATTTTCCTGCACTTACTTAAGTGTTATTAATTGCATAAAAATATTCTTTGCTTCACTTTTCGTCAGTTAATTATTGGTGGATTAATTAGGATTTGTGGAGCAATGAAGAAAACTTTTTCTGTCCCTTATAAAACTTTTAAATCCTACTTAATACCATGAAATGTGTTCAATTGCATTGGTGGAAATAACGTTTACTCAAGTATTATTTTTAAATATTTGTACTTTAGTTCTTGAGTACTTGAGTATTTCCATATGCTACTTTATGCTTCTAATCTACTACAATTTAGAGGAAATGATTGTACTTTGACCACTTTATTTAACCATAGGTAACCTCAAGTGAAGGAGTTCAAGTGTCTCGGGGTCTTGTTCTCGAGTGAGGGAACAATGGAGAGCTGAGCCAGAAGGCAAAGCTCTCTGTCTACCGGGCCATTTTCGTTCCTACCCTCACCTATAGGTCATGAAGGATGGGTCATGACCGAAAGAACAAGATCGCGGGTACAAGCGGCCGAGATGGGTTTTCTCCGCAGGGTGGCTGATGTCTCCCTTAGGGATAAGGTGAGAAGTTCAGTCATCCGGGAGGGACTCGGAGTTGAACCGCTCCTCCTTCGCGTCGAAAGGAGCCAGTTGAGGTGGTTCGGGCACCTAGTTAGGATGTCACCTGGGCGCCTCCCTAGGGAGGTGTTCCAGGCACGTCCAGTTGGGAGGAGACCAAGGGGTAGACCTAGGACCAGGTGGAGGGATTATATCTCTTCGCTGGCCTGGGAGCGCCTTGGGATCCCCCAGTCAGAGCTGGTTGATGTGGCCAGGGAAGAGAAAGTTTGGGGCTCTCTGCTGGAACTGCTACCTCCGCGACCCGACCACGGATAAGCGGGAGAAGATGGATGGATGGATGGATGGATGGATGGATGCTCTTAACATCCCGATAGCAATGAATATCTTAAGTGCTTT